ACCCCAAAACCCCCAAATCCCAAAAACCCAAAAATCCCAAACTCCCCAAACCCGAAAGACCCTAAACCCGGTTCGCCTGTCCGGCCACGGCGGCATCGGGGCTCTTGGATTCATCCAGGACCTGTAGGAGGTCCTGCAGCCAAAGCTGCTCCATCAGCTCACACTCCTGGTTCAGGGGTTAGGGTTTTCAGGGTTTAGGGTTTAGGGTTTAGGGTTTAGGGTTTAGGGTTTAGGGTTCAGGGTTCAGGGTTTAGGGTTTAGGGCTGTACAGGGTCGGGTGGAGGGTCTGCAGGTTGAGGGGTTTCCAGTAAGACCTAAGGCCCCGAAGATCCTAGAGCTCCACAAAGAAGACCCCCAAAGCCGCAACCCCCCCCCCCAAATCCACCAAGACCACCCAATCCAAAGACCCCCAAAGACACTGAACTCAAAAAAACCTAAACCCTAAACCCTAAACCCTAAACCCCAAACCCTAAAACGATGCCTGGTTCAAGCCGCGGCTCTGGGGGGCTAAGGACCCCGGTGACCACGCAGACCCCGTGCCTCTCGAAGGTCTCTCGCACGCCTGTGGTTCTCTGAGGGGTCTTATAAGAGGGTTTACAAAGGCTCGTCAACCTAGGGCTTAAGTGTTTTTGCTGTTTTTTGTTTGGCTTTTTTTTTTTGGGGGGGGGGGTTTCTTTTTTGGGGTTCAGGGTTTAATTAGGGTACATGTAGGGTTCCCAGCAGCCCTACCCCCCAGAGCAGCAGCAGCCTAAACCCTAAACCCTAAACCCTGAACCCTAAACCCTAAACCCTAAACCCTAAACCCTAAACTACCCCCAGAGCAACAGCAGTAGCCATGAACCGTAGAGCCCAGCTGCGCTCCGGGGGCGCCGACGCCGGAACCAGCAGCGGCGCAAGCTCCTTTAAGGGTTTTTTGGGGGCAGCTCTCTTGTTTACAGAGCCACAGGGTTTAGGGTTTAGGGTTTAGGGTTTAGGGTTTGGGGTTTAGGGTTTAGGGTTTAGGGTTTACGTGCTTGATGTGCGACTGAGTTTTGTTGAAGATTGCCTTGCCAGTTTACAGCTTCACTTGCAGCTATCACCCTCCGGCTCAACCACTGTCTCGAGACCCACGAGTAACCGAGGAATAAAAAAGGGTGCCCTTGTTGGTTACTGGGGCTTGTAAGGGAACCTAAACCCTAAACCCTAAACCCTAAACCCTAAACCCTAAGCCCTAAGCCCTAAGCCCTAAACCCTAAACCCTAAACCCTAAACCCACCCTTAAAGAAGGGAATCAGGGACCACTCCCTCTAAGGCTAGGGAGTCCTCCGCAGACATCACGGGGAAGTAGGCTTCGCTGGGCTTCAGGGGCTTCGTGGCGGCTGTGCTGGGATAGCCCCTGCCACTGCCCTTCGGCGTCCTGGAGGTTCCCCAAAAATTTCTAAACCCTAAACCCTAAGTCCTAAACCCTAAACCCTAAACCCTAAGTCCTAAACCCTAAGCCCTAAACCCTAAACGGAGGTTGGGGTTGAGATTTCTTCGAATCAGGGCACCGGGGCCTGTAGGATTGCTCGGAAATGCAGTCAGGTGCAAGAGGTTCAAACGGTTCAGCATTAAGTTCTCGAGTTTCTGTAAAACCTAAACCCTACACCTTAAACCCTAAACCCTAAACCCCTTTTTAAAGGGGCTGAGGGACTAAAAACCCCAATCCCCCAGCCCAGTCATTTGCCCAGACTCGAAGCATTGAAGCACCCAAAGCCCTGTAAACCTTTCAGAAGGATGGAACAAACGAAGCACCCTTGCCCTGCCCCAAGACATACTAGACCCAAGAGAAATGCAGGAACCAAAAGGGGGTGCCCTTTTGGCTTTAAAGGAAGCTTGTGGGGGAACCGAACCCTCCTAAGGGCCTACTCTGGGTCCTAGAAGAGGGTTAGCCTTCTCAAAACCCCATAAAACTCCGAACCCTACGGAAGGGGAAATACGGGTCCACATCGCATCCTAGAACCAGGAGGGCCCAAGACCCTCTCAATTCGGGAACAAGCCTTGGCCTGCGTTCATAATAAGCACGCTCCCCCCCTACCTCCCATATGGCTTATAAGGTGTGTATTCCTTGATTGATTAAGGGGGGGTACTAGGCTTCCAGGCACTCTAAACCCAAAACGCCAATCCAAACCCTGCAGATGGCCAAACCTGCGTCGGCTTGTCTAGGATTCTGTCTTTTCGGGGCAAGCTTGCTGTACGTAAAGGAGTCACTTCGAAATTGCTAGCTCCAAGAGTAAGAAAAGAATAGAAAGGGTGCCCTTTTTGGTTTAAAGGGGCTTCTAAGGGAACCTAAACCCTAAACTCTAAGCCCTAAACCCTAAACCCTAAACCCTAAACCCTAAACCCTAAAACAGGAAATAAAGGGCCTGCTCTGGCTCCGAGATTACTACCGAAGCCCCCTCTGGCGGCCTGCTTGATGTTGCCGGTGCTGCATGGTGGCCCTCTTCCTCGGCTGAGGGTTTAGGGATTAGGGATTAGGGATTAGGGTTTAGGGTTTTAGACCCTAAACCTGCTGCTCTCTCACGCGTGGACTGAGCTGGGTTAAGGGGGGGGGGGGGCTTAGCTGGGTTCTGGACGAAACCGCAACCCTAAACTAAAGCCCTACCCTAAACCCAAACCCTTTTACACCCTAAATCCTCAACCTGCCTGATACAGACCCGAAAAAGGCCTGCACAGCCCTACAAGGCCCAAACAAAAACCCTCAAGCCCAAACCACCCCAGACACAAACCCCTAAACCCTAAACCCTAAACCCTAAACCCTAAACCCTAAACCCTAAACCCTAAACCCTAAACCCTAAACCCTAAACCCTAAACCCTAAACCCTAAACCCTAAACCCTAAACCCTCACCTTCGAGCCCGGCATCCACGACTCCGCGAGCCAGCCGCAGCTGGCCGAGTAGAGTCTCCGTGGCGCTGCGGTCGACGGCGGGCGCGGGCGCAGGCGCAGGAGCGGAATCGACTATGTCGGTCGTCTCCTCCAAGAGGCTTAGGGTTTAGGGTGCCTCCAGTAGCCTAAGGCTCCAAGGGCTCTTGTTTAAGGGCTGTTGGGCCAAAAGGCCATCTGATTTAAGGTCTTGGGCTATTTTGAGCCTAAGGGGTAAATTTAGGGTTTGAGGTCCAGGACTTTGATTAGTAGCGTGAGGCACAGGGGGCAGGGCTTTTTTTTCCATAGGGCACTTGGGGCTTATAGATTCCTGGGGCTTATGGGATTGTTCTTTCAGGACGGTTTCTAGCGTTCAGTATTGGTAGATCATATATATATATATATATATGCTACCCCCCCCCCCAGCGACCTACCCTTTTTAGGCCTTTTTAGGCCTTTTTAGGCCTTTTTAACAAAAAATAACAAACAAGGCCCAAAAGTCGCGTAGTTAATCACCGGGTAATGAAGGACAGTTACTGGGACACCCACCTCACAGACCCCGATAAGCCAGCATTTGGAAGAATCTACATTTTGAATCTGAAGCGGACAATGCTGTTTTTAGATGTTTAGATCAGTGTTTTTCTATGCAAATTGTGCGTTTTAAAGGGCAATTAATGTTTTGTTGAGCAACTAATTTATTTATACAATTGTGTTTGTACGAGGCAAAGTATTAATCAAATAGTGAAACATTTTTCTTGGTTCTATGCGAATTTAGCTACTAGAGTAATTATTAAGCAAAGAGCCCAATTTGACTCGAGTGAATACCATTTAAGGGAGCATACTCAACCAAGATACGAAATAGACACCATTCTCAACCAAAATATGGCAAAGTGTGGGTTTAAAGTGCAAATACTGTATTTATACAATTGTGCTTGTACTAGGCAAAGTATGCTCTCTGAAAAGTCCACTGAAATACCTTATGTTTACATATTCATGAATCGTTTTTATTTTTGAAATAATCATTTTATGCGAATTTAGCTACTAGAGTAATTATTAAGCAAATAGCCCAATTTGACTCAAGTGAATACCATTTAAAGGACCATACTCAACCAAAATACGAAATAAGCACCATATACAACCAACATATGGCAAAGTGTGGTTTAAAGGGCAAATAGTGCTTTGTTGAGCAACTAATGCATTGAAACAGTTGTGTTTATACCAGGCAAAGTATTATTGAAATACTATCTGCAAAGTCAAATGAAACACCTTATGTTTACATATTCATGAAACAATTTTTTTGAAGTATTCATTCTATGCGAATTTAACTACTAGAGGAATTCTTAAGCAAATAGCCCAATTTGACTCAAGTGAATACTATTTAAAGGACCATACTCAACCAAATACGAAATAAACACTTGCGGAAATGGAAACGGTTCTACCTACATAACAATGAGACAAAGATTGCTGAAGTATTCACTAAAGACCACTTGTATACTATGTCTGAAAAGCACAATTTGCATAAGCAAGCTTAAAAATGCACAATAATGGAAATCGGTTCTACTTACATAACGATGAAACAAAGATGTCTGAAGTATTCAATAAAGACCACATATATACTATGCTTGAAAAACGCAACTTGCACAATCAGGCTTAAAAAATGCACAAGAATCCTAGAAAAGTACTTCTAAAGTGAAGGCCATACCACAAGCAAATTCACAAATACGTAAAAACATCCAAAAGCGCAAGCTTTTCAGGAGAATCTCTGGTGAAGTTTGGATTATAGGGTTTTGGGGTATCCCTGGACGAGTAGGAGTCACTTTTTAAGCAAACAATTCTAAGCAATAAATGCTTTTTCTCAAGACAAGTATTGCAAATGCTGCTTCTAGATAATTAATCGCATTTACCAGGCAAATATTATCCATGCGAATTTAGCTACCAGAGCACCAAGTAATGGCTGAATAAGGTCTACTACACTTGAGTGCAACCAAAAGATGCACTAAACACTAGCGGCTCTACTTACATAATAACGAAACAAAAAGTTCTGAAGCACTAGAAAGACCACTTGTATACTATTTTTGAAAAGCACAATTAGCATAAGCACACTTAAAAATGCGTAGTTGTTGCCTCGTGACCGTGAAGGCGAACCAAAAAGCCAAAATACCAAAACCAAAAAACCAAAAAAACCAAAACCAAAAAAACCAAAAAAAACAAAACCAAAAAAACCAAAAATACCAAAAACACCAATTTTCTGGGGCTCTTGGAGAAGCCTCATAGGAATTTCCTGAGAGTCCCGGAAAATTGTTTTTTTGGTATTTATGGTTTTTTTGGTTTTGTTTTTTTTGTTTTTTTTGGTTTTGGTTTTTTGGTTTTTTTGGTTTTGGTATTTTTGGTTTTTCTACTGTCCCGTGTATGCGATTTTAGTTGTATTTTAGTCTACGCCCTAGGAAATACGCTATATTGCACACCGAGTTTGCTTGCAGTGCAGCTGTGACTTGAGACAAGGCGAAAAAGGGTAGGTCACTGGGGGGGGGGTACCATATATATATATATACATATATATATATGTACATACGTATGTGTATATATATATATATACATAATTCATGTATATAGGCTTCGTGATCTAAAGCCTCGGAAAGGTACCTCTTCGCCTTTGCGGACCTGTGTCGGTTTAGGGCTTCGTTTTGACCCAGGAACGGGAACCTGTAAACAAATCGCTCTAAACACCTTAGACACCAACAACCCCAAGCCCTATGACTCTTAAAGCTCTAGACACCCTGAGCACTCCCTAAACCCTACAACCTAAACCTTAAACCCTGAACCCTATAAGCCCTAAACCCGAAACCCTTGAAACCCAAAACTAGGTTCACGGCCGTAAGTCCATCATCCTTAGAGCCCTACAAACATCCGCGTTTCGCACAGTGCAGGATTTAAGGTTTAGGTTTGAGGGCTTGGGGTTCAGGGTGTTGGATAAACTCTATGCCCATATCCCTTACGACCCTAAAGCCCCAAACTAAGGCTTCAGGCTTCGGGGGCTCAGGGTGCTTAGTAGCCCATGATAAGTGTAGTTATTACCCACAAATTAATCCCCGAAGCACCCTAGTGGGGTTAGAATTGGGTTAGAAGTGCAACTATAATTGGGTTACTAAGTACCAAAAAGCTCCAAACCCTAAACCCTAAACCCTAAACCCTAAACCCTAAACCCTAAACCCTAAACCCTAAACCCTAAACCCTAAACCCTAAACCCTAAACTCCAAGCCGGCTTCGGGGGCTCCTGCTCGGAAGTCTTCCGATCTTTTCTCCACCTCTTTCCCCCCATGGCTGCACAGGAAGGCCGAAAGAGAGAAGGGGATACACTGATCTGGCAAGATGGCTGCGGCTGCAGAACTGCTGCTGCAAGCTGTAGGGGTTTAGGGTTTGGGGTTTCGGGGTAGCTAGGGCTTAGGATTTAGAGCCTAGGAAGTCTTGGTGTTCCAGCCTCTTTTGGGTTTGTGGCTTCAAGGTTTAACTCCTGCATGCACCGGTTGCCTGCACTCCCCTGCCCCCTGCAGAAACCCTAAACCCAAAACCCTAAACCCTAAACCCTAAACCCCTAAACCCCCAAGCCCTAAACCCAAAACCCGAAAAAAGAAAAGAAAACCGTTAAGCCCTGAACCCTACACTTGACGACTAAGCAGTGAAGCGCCACAGGACATCTCCCGACACCCAGGCTGCGAGGCTCAGGCAACCTCGGCATGGAGGCCTCCGGAAGGTGTTCCAGGACCTGTTCAGGGTTTAGGGTTCAGGGTTTTAGGGTTTTAGGGTTTTAGGGTTTAGGGTTTAGGGTTTAGGGTTTAGGGTTTAGGGTTTAGGGTTTAGGGTTCAGGGTTAAAGGGTTTCAGTTATTGTTCGTATTATTGTTATTATTACTATGATTATGATTATCATTATGATTTCGATTATTATTATTATTATCATTCTGATTTCCATTATTTTTATTCTGATTGATAGTACTTGTTTATGGTTTTATGTTTTAGGGTTTAGGGGTTCAGGGTTTTAGGGTGTAGGGGTTTAGGGTTTAGGGGTTTTAGGGTTGTATGAAGAGTTTGAGGGTTTCAGGGTCTAGTATGAAGAGTTGAAGGGTTTCAGGCTTGAATATTCAGGGTCTGAGGGCATTTATGGTTTTAAGGCCTTAAGGGTTTCCCCAAAGGCTCCTAGGTAGTACCCTTTTGGGGCAGTATGATAGAATCCCTACCCCTAAACCCCTAAACCCCTCAACCCCTAAATCCCGAAACCCCGACGCCCCTAAAACTCTGAACCCCTAAACCCCTAAACCCCGAAACCCCTAAACCCTTAAACCCCTAAACCCCTAAACGCTTCAGGTAAGGTGCTCCCTGGCCCCCGAAGCTCCCAAAGCTTGTGGAAATGCTGTGTCCGAATCCCTCACAAGGCTTGCACTTTTCCATGGGTTCCCCTACTACCCCCCCTCTATTTAGGGTTTAGGGTTTAGGGTTTAGGGTTAGGGTTTAGGGTTTAGGGTTCAGGGTTCAGGGTGCAGGGTTCAGGGTTTAGGGTTTAGGGTTTAGGGTTTAGGGTTAGGGTTTAGGGTTTAGGGTTTAGGGTTTAGGGTTTAGGGTTTAGGGTTTAGGGTTTAGGGCTTACTAGGTTCCCCCGAAAATTATGGCTCTTTCGGGAGAACTAAGCCTAATTGAGTTTATTTAGGGGGGGGGGGGGGGGGGGGTAGTATAGAGGGGGGCAGTAGTCATGGACTTCAGAAGCCCCCAGCCTAGAACCCCTCGACCTCTCACAAAACATTTCACCCTGACACCCCCTTAGCACGAACAGGAAAGGCATACACCACTTCTTCTTGAACAAGGTGCCGGGCTACTCTACGCAAACTGACCCACAAACCCTAGACTAAGCCTGAGAAGACCTAAACGCGAAACTCTAAACCCCAAACCCCAAACCCTAAACCCGAAACCTGGAATTTGAAGCCCTAAAACCGACTTCTTAATCCCTACCATCTCAAGTCCCGCACCTAAACCCCTAAACCCCTAAACCCCTAAACCCCTAAACGCCTAAACCCCTAAACCCCTAAACCCCTAAACCCCTAAACCCCTAAACCCTTAAACCCCTAAACTCCTAAACTCCTAAACCCCCAAACCCCTTAACCCCCAAACCCTCGACCCTAAACACCAAACCCCTAAACCCTCGACCGTGGCTCTGCCCTGGCACCTCGCAAAGGACGATCGCCTGGACGCCGGCAGCGAAGGAGGTCCACGGGCGCACGCCTGGCGGTTCGCGCCGGCAGCGGCTTGGTGTCCCTACTGGGCCACTGGGGTTTCGGGTTTCGGGTTTCGGGTTTAGGGTTTAGGGTTTAGGGTGTAGGGTGTAGGGTGTAGGGTGTAGGGTTACATAATTAAGATTTACATGGTCCCTTCATCCAGTCCCTTACCTTGTTAAAGTATGGGCCAACTGGGGTATGGAAGCGGTACGCTCTGAAATAAAGGGCCCACACTGAGGCGGGTAAACCCAAAACCCTAAACCCTCTAGGAAGCCGAGGGTGCGGGGTTGCGGGGCTTAGGGCTCACAAACGGCTTTCAGTACTCGAAACCCTTAAATTTAAATAATACGGTGTTTGGGCCAAAACACCCGTAAACAAGAGCCCAGACTTTGGAGTAGACCCTGGGAAAAAGTATGTACTTTTATGCATAAGTAGCTACCATAGGAACCCAGAACCAAAAAGAGTATGAAAGCATAGTACTCCAAAACCCAGTTAAATAAGAGCCCCTAACCCTGACCCCTAAACCCTAAACCCTAAGCCTAAACCCTAAACCCTAAACCCTCAACCCTCGGCCTTAAACCCTAAACCCCGCCTCCTTCCGCAACCTGCACGAAGTCCGCCTGCATGACCTCGACGTGCTGCCCTCCGCTTCCCTTGTCTGCCAGCCGCCGGGTGGCGTTCTGCGGTGCGCAGAGTAGGGTTTAGGGTTTAGGGTTTAGGGTTTAGGGTTTAGGGCTTAGGGCTTAGGGTTGAGGGTTTATATAGTAGTACATTATTTGACAATTCGACAATTATGTTTCTCTATATTACTATATCTTATATTACTATATCTTAATAAGAAGCAAAATTACCAGACCCCTCAAAAAAGGGGATAAGGGCCTACTCTGGGTCCTAGCCTATAAGCCCACCTACATGCCCGCCAGCCTCACACCGCCCACCCGCACTGAACATGGTCACGCCCTACTTAGAGGTTCAGGGTACTTACCACTGAGCTTAACACTGCACTTAGAAGCCCCCCAAGGCCTCTAAGTAGGTTGTTAGAAATGGGACTAAAGTAACCTCCAAGAAAGCACCAAACCTACAGACCCTAAATACTACTAGTAGAAGCCCCAAACCCTCAACCCACCCAGCTCACTCTCCCCCACCTCATCCGGAAAAGAACATGCAGTCAAGAACGAAATGCAATTAACGACCATTCCAAAGGAAAGCAAACACATAGACATCCTAAACCCCAAACCCTCTAAACCCTCTAAACCCTCTAAACCCTCTAAACCCTCTAAACCCTCTAAACCCTCTAAACCCTCTAAACCCTCTAAACCCTCTAAAACCTCTAAACCCTCTAAACCCTCTAAACCCTCTAAACCCTCTAAACCCTCTAAACCCTCTAAACCCTCTAAACCCTCTAAACCCTCTAAACCCTCTAAACCCTAAAGCCTCAAGCCTCAAGCCTAAACCCTCCAAACCCTAGACCCTCTACTGTACATCCCGAAACATATGCAATCAACCAAAACAGCGGTCCTTGATGCGGCGCTCCGATAGGTCCAGGCCCAGGACGCGCTGAAGTCCAACCTCTACCAAGGCCTGGAGTGGGGTTTAGGGTTTGGGGTTTAGGGTTTAGGGTTTAGGTTTAGAGTTTAGGGTTTAGGGGGTGGGGTTTAGGGTTTGGGGTTTACAGTTTAGAGTTTAGGGTTTAGAGTTTAGGGTTTAGGGGGTAGGTAGGGGGTAGGTAGGAGGGGGCAGGTAGGGGGTAGGTAGGGGGTAGGCAGGGGGTAGGTAGGGGCAGGCAGAAGTACGTAGGGGCTATGGGGGCAGGGGTAGGATTGAGGGGTTGGGGGTTTGGGGTTTGGGGGAGGGCTTGGGTTTCGGGTGTAGCGGTTTAGGGTTTAGAGTTTAGCATACAGGGTTTAGGGTTTATGTCTGGGGGCTGAAGAGGGGGGGGAACGAGGGTTCAGGGTTCCCGGGTTAAGATTTAGAGTATGGGGTTGATATCTTGGAGGGGGGGCGGGGGGGTTCGTGTTAACAACAAAACCTTGCATAGGTCATTTACACCTACAAGCCTTTTGGGTTAGGGGTTGATAGAATACAAGCGTTTCCTAGGCCCTGAACCAACCCTCTATCTTAAAGCCCCAACACCCTAAACTCTAGACTCTAAACCCCAAACCCCTAAAACTCCAACAAAAGCCTACAGACCCTATGAACCCTAAACCGGATAAAAAAAAACCCACGTGTAAACTCTCCGAAGGTCCTTGTGAATCAGAGCTCTCGGGACCCTGGTTCTTCGTAGGGCCCTGCATATACCTCCTCGTAGGGCACATTCCCTCATTCCCAAAGAACCAGCCAGCCGAATGGTTCTTAAGGGACTTGGACGTTCATGGTACTGACTAACCAATTATGACTGTACTTATAACTGTACGTATAACCATATTAGGTCGCTTAAGGGGCTTATACGTGGGTCATAAGTACAGATATAATTGGTTAATAAGTACCATGAACCTCCAAGTATGTAACGCAAGGTTCCCTATAGGGACTCCCGAAGCTTCCCTAAGGTTCCCTAGGTACCTACCTTGCCATGAACCCCCAAAACCCTAAACCCTAAACCCTAAACCCTGAGCCCTGAGCCCTGAGCCCTGAACCCTAAACCTTAAACCCTAAACCCTAAACCCTAAACCCTCCCTTAAGAACCCTACAAAATCAGGGCTCTCGGGACCTCCATCAGCTGGCCATCGCCGCATCCCAGGTCCAGGGCACTCACCACCTGAGCCGCAAGGTGGGTTCGGGTTTAGGGTTTAGGGTTTAGGGGTTAGGGTTTAGGGTTCAGGGGTTCAGGGGTTCAGGGGTTCAGGGGTTCAGGGGTTCAGGGGTTCAGGGGTTCAGGGGTTCAGGGGTTCAGGGGTTCAGGGTTCAGGGGTTCAGGGTTCGGGGGTTCAGGGTTCAGGGGTCAGGGGTCAGGGGTTTAGGGTTCAGGGTTCAGGGATTTAGGGTTTAGGGTTCAGGGTTCAGGGTTCAGGGGTTTAGGGTTCAGGGTTCAGGGGTTTAGGGTTTAGGGTTTAGGGTTC